TTAAGTTTTAAAAAGCGAGTAATTTAAACGAGATTAACAAATACGTACGTACAGGTTTCCTCGCTACTCAAAGTAGAGTGTTCCTATGAAATCTTCTGTAAACTGAACGATGTAAAGCAAAGAAGCAATTCCGTTAGGATGCATCTTGCTAACAGATGCACAAAGTAAGTCGAGATAAACCAAGGATGCTCAGACCCAGTTCAAAGCTTTCGGGCTTGACGAGATGCTGAGTGTGGTTCCCGAAAAGGAGCTCGGCGGGGCCCCCTCGCTGATCAGGCTTACCGCTGCTGCCTCTGTGCCGGCGCGCTGCAAGGCAGACGCTGAATGCTATTTTTGACTTTTGCCTTTTTCTGTAAAGCGAAAATCCTCTTCGAATTTCTTTTGATTAGTGAAAACAAGTACTAACGTAGATCTTTCATAAAGCAAAGTGGTGTAAAGCGAACTTTCCCAAAGCAAGGAATACCTGTAAGAGTCTAGGTGGTACTCCAATAATGTGAAATTGGGGACATGGTAAGATTCTGATAGATGTTACAGGGAAATATTGATGGAAATCGAACTTCTCATAGTACAGATGGGGAAACTGGTCCATGGGCCAGGCTTAGGTTTTGTCATCTGGTAAATGACAGCGGCCCTGCCTGCCTCACAGGATTGTTATGAGATAAGACATGTGGAAGCAACCCCAAATTCTGAATAAATCAATAGAAGCAGCTCTGCAGGCTAACTGGTATCCTCCTTCCCGTCCCTTACATCAGGAGAGGGGTCTGCCAGGTTTGTATCTTATCCAGGTTTACAGGTGACCGTCTGGGCCTCACGTGCACTGTGGCTGGGGTTACACCAAGAGGATGTGACCCTTGGCGCCTCAGCATCCATGTCCCAACAGACCACAGTGTGTCAGAATTCAGCTGCGCTCGGCAAGCTGGAAGGGGTCCCACCCTGGATCTCACGAGCAGGACCGACTTGTGCGGCCTCCCACATAGCACCACTGTCTTCAAAGCCCTTTGCAGAACGTAAGTAAAAAGCTGCCCTCCGCTAGGTGAGCAGCCAAGGGCCCCACACAGAAGATGGCCTGTTCCCCGCGGTGTTCATAAAGGCTCGTCACATTCCCCACCCCCGTTGTCCTGGCTTTGGACAGGGCTAGAGCCAAGCTGACAGGCGGTCCCTGAGTCTTTGTTAAACTTGAGCTCAGATAGACGTAGAAACACAAGAGGAGCCAAATCACATGTTTAAACAGTTAAGAGGAAACCAGGCTCAGCAAGGAACTACAACCCTGGATTTAGCTTGGGTGAATTTTCCTTCTCTGGGATTTCCTGTCCCTTTTCTGGATGTTTCTATCTATCAAATGTTCCCTGGCAGTTGGTTTAAGGCCATCAACTCTGCGGTGAAAGAAAGCCTTACATACACAGGCCTTCGGCTTAGCTGCTAAAATATCAACGGCTGCCGAATGGTGCAGACCCAAAGCCGGGCTTACAGGACACAAGCTCCAGCCTCTTGTCTATCTGCCCTCAGTGGAAAGAGAGCCCAAACCTGAGGAATGGGCTGAGAGTACATCCAGAACAGTAGAGGCCAGCACACTACCCCAACAACTTCCTGGGGGGCAGGGACAATAGGATTGGTGGGGGGTGGTAGGTCCTTAAGGAATGTAAAGTGAGAGAACCCAAAAGCCGGCCTCCTGCAACGTTCTTAGACTGCAGTTAAATTTTAACAATTTTTTTTTATGTAAATCATCTGGTACTCTCAGTTGTATGGGGGGGGGCTGCATAAAGAGGGAACAATGGGCTAGGATTAGATAATTTACTTAGTGCTAAAATTCCAGGAAGTATGTGTTGATCTGGGCCTGGATCTGTTACTTTTTAGCTCAAATCTAAATCTTTATCTGCCTAGTAGAGTTGCGAGGACATTTTTTTTCCTTAGTCATTTTTACAGTTGTAATTTTTACCCTCTTTCATCAAATAGAGCCGGTTAGATTAGTAGCTCTTAGCACAGAGATGAAAATATTGGTAGAGCCCAATGGGCCCTGTTTTGTTTATCCTAATGGAGCAGGCTTTGATCTAAACAGATTTCCTGGGGTCTGGAGGAGATGACCTAATTCCTGTCTTATCCGTCTCCACTTTCTGTGAATCTCAGATTGCGCTTTACTGTGGAGCCCTTTGAAATTCACTTTACATTTTTTCCCACTTTGTTACCCCCTCTGACATTTGTTTCATTTGGGGTAGAGTGTGTAACTCCTAGTAAAGACTCCAATGCTTTATTTTTCTAACAGGACTGCGAAGTTTTAACAGAGTGGGAGCTTTTTTTTTTTTTAAGTTCTCTCATTCTTGACATTCACAACACGCCAAAAACAATAAGCAAATAATCTACTGCTAGAAATTTATGTCAACTGCAAATCATTTAGGATTTTCTGTATGAACATTTTTTTTCCAATTAAAAAAAATTGTCCCTACATCTGCATAAAAGACAATTGACTAAAGGTGGCTCATGAGGATTGAGGCATGAAAACTCGAAGCTCTGAGTTAGCTTCTGGTATCTCCAATTGTTCTGCAGGGACCTGTCCCCTCCTTCACAGCCTCTGGAGTGAGGGATCTTGGGCAGCTTTGGTCTGCCATTGGTTTCTCTCCCTTTTCCCTATGTCTCTGTCGATCACCAAACTGCTCTTCCAAGTATATTTTTCAGAAAGAAGGAAGCCCCTGTGTGTGAGTGTGGAGGTGGGGAGTAGGGAGCAGTAGATGGATGGGGAGAAAAGAAAAACCACAAAGAACATAGGAAAGACACAGGAAGGGAAAGGATTAGGAGAGGGTGAGACAATGACAGCAGCAGTGAGACAGAGAGAAAAACAAAAGCAGTTACTAAAAACCCCAGGAAAACCCCAAGTTGCTAACATTTGTCAATTTTGCAAGATGGGCACAAGGGGGTTTGTTACATGATTCGTTGCACTTTTCTGTATTTTTACAATTCATTTTAAAAAAGAAAAAGAACTGGGGAAAATGTCACCAAAATGAATATTTTTAGTTAAAAAATTTTGTGAATTTAGCTGTCATGACAGGCAGCCACAATCCAGGAATTTCGGTTCTTGACGGTTCCCAAACTACTTCGGGGCACCTTAAGTTTCAGAAGGGAAAAGACACACAAGTGAAGCGAGGCTTGGCAGGAGGGGGTGAGGAGGATGGTGAGGTTCGTTACCATCATCTGCCTTAAAATAAACCCTGTTGCTTTTTAATATAAACCCATTCCTCCTCTGCTGGGCTAAGCCGAAAGGCTGAGTGTATTTGTCACACGGTGAGCGGGAGCAGGGCCGAGGGCGATGTCTTGCGTTGGAAATGCACGGTAAGGGGAACGGGCAGGTGATGATCAATGGATCAGAGATCTGACTGGTAGATGGCGAGGCGGGGACAAACGCTGAGAGGGAGGGACCGGACAGACGGAGACCCGGTCGCTCCGATCGGTTCCTAAGGGCTTCGGATGCCTCGGGAAGTCTGTCTAAACGCAAAGCTGCTTTTGCTGCCCTTAGCTCACTTTCATAAAACGCCAGAAGGGAGGAGGTTGGTGGTTCGAGGGCAAAGAAAAAAACTTGCCCGCCCACCCTGGACCGCCTGCCTCGCCTCGCGGACATGGACGCGCAGCCCGGGGTCGCGCAGGGCCGGTGGGAGCCCAGGGGGTGGGGGCCGCGGGGTTGACGCCTGGACGGGAGGGGCGGGAGAGGGGTCGGGCTGCTGGCCTTGCGCTCAGGGCTCTGCGGCTGGGCCCGTGGAGGGGCGGGTGAGGCGCAGGTTGCATGGTGTCAGCCTGCCCGGCTCGTGGCCGACAACCCTCTGACCCCCCCCAGCCCCCCAGCAGGTCCCCCAGGCTCCGTCCCGGGGCGCAGACCCTGAGACCACCTGGTCCACGTTGCGCCCATTCCTGGCAAGGAGGTGGACGCCTCCTTCGCAGCGACATCGCCCGCCTGCGGGCCGCGTGGAACCCGAGCTTCTGGCCAGAGCGCCGGCCTTCTCTCAGGCTCCCCACTCTTGAGCCAAGAGGCGGCGTGGGTTTTCTGCACCTCCTCACCGCGCACACCCCCATCCCCGCCCTCTCCTGCTTTAGGGGAACATCGCACCCCCACCCCTCTCCCCATGCCGGGGCCTGGGGGTAGCGCTCACTTTCCGGGAGGCCGGGCCTGGGCCCCCAGCCTGGGGAGGCCTGCGCCTGCTGGAAGCTTCTACGGAAGGCGGCCGGACGCTTCTCCCTTACCTGGGCGCGGGGCAGGCTGCCGGCGCTTCACTGCCTCCCTGAAAGAAAGCTCGCTGACCCCTACAGACACCGACTTCCACCCTGTCCGTTTGCTGACCCTAAACAGTGCTCAGGAGGAAAACATGTTTCCCCTAGAACAGAAGGGAGAGAGGGACAAGTGAACACTGATGACGAAACAGTCAAGTCGACTCTACATACAGATCCTTCCGTGATCGACTTTTCCTCTCAAAAATGCATGTGTTTTAATGCCTAAAAGACCAATTAAATAAAACACACGGTGACCTCTTTGGGCGGCGGTCCGGTTTCAGAGCCAGATTATATAACACCCCTGCGTCGGGGGCTCTGCAGCAGTGCTGCTCTGCACCGCCTGAAAAAAAGCTACTGTATCCCGGGAAGCGAGACCAGAACAGTTGAAATAAAGCCGAAGTCTGAATGGGTAACAAATGTCCTGTTTAAGGAAACTTACCTGTCCGGGGTGAAACCTCCAGTAACAACTCTTCATTTCATTTCATTCCCACCCCCACCCCCACCCCGTTTTTCTTGGGTGGGGGTGGGGGTTGTGGGAAGTGTGGCCAAATGAGTAATACTTATTGAGACAATATCTAGATCCTCCAAATAAAAAATATAAAGAAAAACCACAGGCCCATGCAAACCTGTTTCTGTTCCTCCCTTTACAATTCCTTATTTAGAAAGGGTTACACACTGCATACACAATTTACTGGTGTCTAGGGAAGTGTTAAAATACATTTCGGGGCCTGGCTAAATAGAAATGCACTCTAAAAACACAGACACAGTATTTTGTTTTATCTGTTGCAAAAAAAAATGTATTTGATTACTTGAGTAAAATTACAGTATCTCTGTTGTTAGTAAGTATTAAACGTTAAACAAATTGGACCCCCCTTCCTTTCAACTTTCCAAGAAAGTGCATGTAACAGTCCAATTTTTTTTTCTTCCATACCTAATACAAAATAAACAAACACTATACCTGCTCTCTTGATCAAGAAGAAGCATTTGCTCTTGTAAGGAACATATGTACATTTTAATGAAAGTGATATTTCTTACTGTATATACAAGAGCATCTGCATTTTCTCCACTGAAGGTTGTTCAAGATGCTATACTTAGCAGCATTGTGAAATTCCAGCACACATTTTCTATTGTGAATATACCTACAAGGCAAAATGTTACGCCTCAGTCTCAACTACCAAAACAACACTTGTATTTTCTCTAAAGAAGTCTGCGTGCTTATTACTGTACAGAAACCTATTAACATTGAGGACGACTCAAGTAAAAAGCACAATACAAAGAGCAGTTCAAAACGGAAACGGTTAAATCTACAAAAAAAAAACCCCAAAAAAACAAAAAAAAAAACAGGTTGAATTTTAGAATAAAAAACAAAACAAAACAAAAAACCTTTCAAGGAACCACACTGTTCAGTCTGTACTTTTAGTCCTTTCCTTAATTCTGCTTCGAAAGATTAGACAATGTGTTTGCTGATAAAATTTTCCAGCAGGATCAAAGTGTACATTTATATACAGACTTTATTAGAGATCTAATGCATCACGGAGGCATTGCATCAACACCAGATTCATATTAAACTGGATATAGAAAATAAGTTAATGCCAGATTAAGACCGCCTAGCAGGGCAACTTGCAATTGCCATAAATGTTACAGCAAGTTTACAGCACTCTAGTCAATTAGTATTTAGTCCAAAATACAGAAGACCAAAGTTAACGCTTGCATTCTGTTTTGCAAAGCAAGGTTATATCACTAATAAATAAGCTTTCTTAGAACTCTAGAAGTTGAACAAGGTACAAAAGAATGTCTTCATAATATTGTAGTTCAGAGATCTGGGGGAACCGGAAGGTGGGGGGTGGGGGGTGGGGAACCAGGCAAGGGGCAGGAGGCAACTGTGGGTCTCGGTTCTGAACAGGAATGTTCTTGCTCCAGCCAGAGTCGCTTTAACTCGTGACAATCTCTTTGCTGTCCTCCACAAAGCGGGTGAAACGGAAGTTGGTTCCGTTCTCACTGCTTGCCATTTTCTCCAGGCCGGCCAGAGGAGCGCTGGGCTCCGAGTCCTGGAGCTTCTCCAGGTTTCCCGTCAGCCCACTAATAGGTGAGCTGCTGCCACTGCCCAGGCTTCCAGGAATTGGAGGGATGCCACCGTTCTGAATGACGGAGATCTCATTGGCCTTCATGGCCAGCCCGTTGGAGAGCGCCGCTGCATACTGATTCCAGAAACTAGAAGGATCCCCGTTTCCTGACCTTGCCGCCAAATCCTTCTGGAACATTTCTGGGAACTTGACGGGATTGCCTCCTAGAAATGTCATGGGGCCGTCCACTGAGAGCCGCCGGCCCCGTCGTGCAGGGGTGCTGTTCCACATGTGAGTGCCCATGTGTACCTGAGAGGAGAGAGAGGGAGAGAGAAAAAAAAAAAAAACCAAAAGGGAAAGAGAGAGGGTAAGGAAGGGAGAAGCTTAATAGTTGAATCTGTCTCAAGTCACATCCCAACAACACTCAGCAAAGCAAACGGCCTGACTGTCTGTTCTTATTACATGCCAGACAGTGGAAAGGGTAATGGGGACGTCCACTCCCGTCGACTTGTAATAATGTGTTCGCACTCTGCAGCCCTGGGCCACCTCGCCTCTTCCTGGGCCAAGATGCCTTACTTACTCTTTTTTTATTACCCGTATTTAGCTTATAATGGCCTCAAGCGAGCCAGTCAGTCGCAGATAGCTCCTTTCAGGGTCAGAATTGTTATGTCCACTCTCATTGCAATGGTAAATATTGTATCTGACACCCTTTACCCTATAAATGTCCTTTTCAGATAGGAAGAAAGTACCCCTCGCTGATTGCCCATTGGAGGGCCCGTGCATGGAGGCAACCGCCAGAAAGTCATTATTCATCTCACATTACTGGCAGCAATCTCTAGAGAAATACTCTGTCAACAGAAAAATGTACACAGTAAGAGAGCTCAACTGTTGCTCTAGAACTTAAGCATATTTGCTTTATTTCCAACACATATCAGTAGGAAGTGCTGTATAATCAATTATCATAATACCCATTAGCAGATGAGTGACGCTGTCGTTTTTTTCCAAAAAACAAACCATGCCGGACTGCATAGTTATGAAAAAGAGATGCATACGCTGAGGAGAACTGTAATTATTAAGTGATATGGGCCGCATGCAGGCCACATGGCGGCTTCCATCAATACCTATGGCAACGCCGGGCTGTCTCCCCTGGCAGGTGAGGCAATTCATTTGGTGCACTTAGCGAGACAACAGAGATGGGCCGCTGTTTCGCTCAGGTACCAAATTATTCAATGCACTCTGACATTCAGCCAGCTGTAGCCTGCCCCGGTCCCGGCCACGATCCCGACCTGCACAGACACCCACATTTCCGCAGTCTGCCATGTGCAGCAGGTTCCCTGGCCAGAACTGTCTCCCTGGGTATCTGGGCGGCTGACCCCGGAAGCATGCATTACAAACCACCAAGGGCAACGAGGGAGGGGACTGATGCCCGGCTGGGGGAGGCACAGATGGAGTAAGGTACCTTAAGATTGCCTTTCGTTGTGAAAGCTCTTCCACAAATAGTGCAAGCAAAGGGTTTCTCTCCAGTGTGAGTTCTCTCGTGGATCTGCAGGGCACTCGATGAGGAGAAGGTTTTGCCACACGTGTTGCAGTAGTGCTGTTTGGGAGTTCTCCTGGGCAGAGCTGGCAGCAGAACTGGGGATGTGGCAGAGGACGACAGAGGCCCAGAAGGGACGTGACTGGTGGGGGTGTCCTTACTGTCCTGAGGAGGAACATGCACAAAGCCGTTGACCTCTGTTTTGATGAGAGATGACAAGGAGTTGGCGGGAATCACCGCCGAGTTCTGATTGGGGCCAAGGTTGGAACTGGGCTCAAAGAGCTGTGATGGTAGATCACGCATCTGATGTGTCAACATGTGCTGCTTCAAATTACCCTTTGTGGAAAAGCCACGATTGCAAACTGTGCAAATAAATGGTCTCTCTTTGGTATGACTTCTGTAGTGAATGTCCAAGGCACTCTGACAAGCAAATGTTTTGCCACAAATGTCGCAAGCAGTGTTTTTAAATTTACCCCGGTCTCTGAAAGGGAAGAGGATCCCCAAAGAATCTTCTTTGATGATTTTCTCTGTGTGACTAGATGTCAGATCCAAAGCCCCGCCATTCACTGGGGTGGGAGACAAACCATTGGTGAATTCGCCTGGTACTGCTGCTCTCTGCGGCTTCTCCTCCACGCCGGGTGACTTGTGGAATTCCTGGGTGCTGTTGGATGGGGACAGAGCCTGCATGGAAGAGGTAGACTCTGAGATGGCCGGGCTGCCAGCACTTTGGCTCTCCATGTCGCCACCCACCGAGGACGAGTCATTGGTCAGGACGTCCCCCTCGACGGACCCGTTCTCCACCGACTTCAGGCTGGCCTGCAGCTGCTCTGCCAGGCCGGCATTGATCATCCTCATCTGGTTTTCCAAAGCAGCGATGCTTGACATCTCCAGGGGCAAAGGTGAAGAAGATAAGCTGTCCTGGGACGCGTCTGCGGACTTGGGCGTGTCGGGGATGCTGCCCTCAGGACAGTCCTCCATGTTTTCATCGGAAAAGTTGTCTAGGTCATCAAAATTTTTCTCATCAAAGGAGCCTGTGTCAGACTCCATGGACTCAGGGTAGCTGTCAGGGATGGGGGTGTTGGGGATCTGGCCTCCCATATGCATCCGAATGTGCTGCTGCAGGACGACGGCGTTGGTGAACTTCTTCTGGCAGATGGGGCAGGAGTGCTGGACTCTGAGCGGGGGCATAGCGCGGTGGACACTGTAATGGGTTTTTAGGTTCCCTTTCGTGGTGAAGGCCCGGCCACAGATTTTACACTTAAAGGGCCTCTCCCCGGTGTGTGTCCGGTAGTGCATCTTCAAGGCGCTCTGACAGCTGAGGACCCGGTGGCAGATGATACACTCATTGGGGTCAGTGGCCTTCTTGTCAATGTTTTCTACCAGCTGCTGAAGCTTGGATGTCTCTGATGCCTGGGCTGAGTCCAAGAGTCCCCCAAAAGGAAACTTCGCCTTGAACTGCTCGGACATGAGCGGCAACAAAGGGTTGGCGAAAGCGGTGGCACCGCCTGGGGTGCAGTCCGCCGCTGGGGAGCTCAGAGCGCTGTTGCTCGCTGCTTGGACCGAGCTGGCGGCCATGCTGCTCTCTTCGCTTTTGCCACCGGAGGGTGGCACGGTGGACCCTTCCACTTCCTCCGGAAGCCCACCCAGGTTTCTTGTGGCGGGCTCGGGGGCCCCAGAGTCACTTTTGACAGAGCCTGGGGGGCTGGCAGCAGAATGGCTGATGGGGATGGGGGCTGGCTCTTCCGTCTTGATGAAGGGTGTGAGGCTCGGGAGGGTAGCGGGCAAGGGCAGGCCGACGGAAGTGGTGAGAGTGGGCAGGACCGGCTTGGTGTCCAGCCAGCTGGTGACCGGCTTTTCTGGAGGAATGGACATGCCGTAAGGGATGCCAGTACTGGTGGGGATATTGTCCAGATGCTCAGGCACGGGGTAGGGGTTCATCTGGATATGAGGGTACTTCTCTTTGTGGCGCTGGAAGTGGACTTTGAGGTTCCCCTTGGTGGAGAAGCGGTTCCCGCAGATGTTGCATTTGAAAGGCCTCTCCCCCGTGTGGGAACGCAGGTGAATCTGCAAGGCACTGTCGCTCCCAAAGACCTTCGCGCAGAACCTGCACTTGTGTTTGAAGAATGCCTCGTCCGAAGTACTTTTCGCTTCGAAGGCAGTGACATTTGGTGGCTTGCTTTTTCTTTGCTGGGCCAAGGCAGACAAGGAGTTCAAATCCTCTGCAGTCGTTCCGATGTTGGGCAAAGGGCTGGGGAAAACCGAGCTAGCAGGGGCCGGCTGAGGTAGAAGTGGATTAGACGCAGGACTTAGTAAGCTGCTTATTGCGAAAGCTGGTGAGGACGCTGCCGAGGCCGCTGTGTTGCTGGCATGGGAGGCACCAGCGCTTGAAGCCACTTTTTCCGAGGACGGGGTGGTCACTGCCGCCGCCAAGATGTTCACGTTGGAAGAGCCGCTGTTGGGTGGAATGATGGTGTTGCCAGAGCTGCTCTGAGGTAGCTGGACTGGGGGTAACTGCCTCATGCCGCTGATGCTGGCAGATTGGCTGGCGAGGCTCTGTGCTAATCCAGCTGCTGCCGCCAGCTGCTGAGACAAATGGGAACTCAGTGTGGACAAGGGGTTGGCAGATGTTCGTAAAGTACCTTGAGAAGGACTAGAAGATGTTGGCAAGTCTGCATTCTGAGAAGCCAACAGCAATATTTGGTGACGAATCTGTTCGATCAGTTGCAACTGGTGAATCTGCTGCTGCTGCAGAGCCAGGAGCTGCTCCATGAGTGCCGGCACAGCCAGCTTGCCTCCGGGGGCCCCACCGCACCTCGCCTCCTGGGAGAACTGGGCCACCGCCACCTTGGTGCTCTGGAGGTTCTCGATGATGACGTTGCTGTTGATCACGGAGAAGTTGCCCAGTGTTGTCAGGTCCCCGAGTTGAGGTAGAGAGGTTGTGATCGCTGAGGTACCTGTGGAGGAGCTGTTGGTGCAGCTGGGGGTGGCACTGCTGTTGCTGCCACTCAGAGTGCCACCGCCGCCTTTGTTAGCCCCTGGGGCCTCCACCTCCATGGACTCCACGTCCCTGTCAAGTCCGTGGTGTTCTGAAAGGTCGCTGCCGTCTCCTTGATCTGCTTTGTTAACCGTGTCATTCATTTGCTCATCGGGGTTATCGGGAGGGGGGCTGGGGGAGGTTTTGGGTGGGGAGACCGGACTTTCATTGACGATTAAAACTAATTGATTTTTAGTACAGTTCTTCTTGTGGAGCAGAAGATCTGATAATTCAAAGAACTCGGCACAGCACCGGCCACAGACATGAGCGTCCTTGTTCTTCGTGATGCGGTTTGGTTGTCCCTTCTCTGTGTCTCCTGCAAATATCAAAAGGTGCAGGGTTAGGAAGGGAGCCAGGACACACACAGTCACCTATGACTTCAAAAAAAGAAAGAGGTGGATCAGTTGTTTTCCACCCGCAAAACTCCAAACTATTGCTCTTGAAAACCAGTCAATATGACCTAAGAACATTCATAATTACATTTTAAGGATGTTGGAGGAATTCCTATCCATCTGGTATCAAAGAGAGCCATGGCCTTCAGATAATCCATCAAAATATAAAATACTATGAACTGAAGACATTGGTGTATAATGAAATTCCATAGCTAAGTATTGATTTCCAATATTTTATACACCGTATTGTCTACTCATCCAGAGAGGGTCCAGCAACCATTCTGAGGACTTATTAGGATCCTGAGCTTCTGTCAACCTTATTCATTTTCAACCGATTCAAAGATATCTGTGACAGTTTGTTCTGTCACTAAACTAATTTGTAGTCATTCAGGTTCCAATCAATTGTTGACAAGGGGGAAAAAAATGCGTATCACCAAGCTGAAGACTGACAACTTGAAAATCACCTCCAGCCCCCACCTAGAACCCGAGCTAACACGGAGCTAAGTCTGATCCGTGACACACACACTTTAGCCACATCTCAGTAACAAACCCTCCAGACTGTTTTATTTCTCAAGACTCAGTGGAATACAAAAGAGAAAGCAACACACACATACACACACACAATGAAGAGAAACAAAGTGATCATAATCCGTTACAAGGCCTGCCTGGCACCTATATATCACCCTGTGGCATGTTTATTTTTAAAATTAAAGAATGCAACCCTGGCTACCACTCACTAATCAAGGAATATATGCCACTAGGCTCCAAATGGCAACATTACGCCTCTAAATATTTTTATCAACAGTGCTCTTTATATCTATAAAACTGGCACAAGATTTACATTTCTGATTAAACATCAACTTAAAGAAGGATGTGCAGTTAAGGGGAAGTGAAGAAATAATTCTTAGTTTAGAGTTTGGAAATGCTTTGCCATTCTCCTTGTCTGAATGCCTTTAAAAACAGTTTGCTCTTAACTGTTATCAATTGTTTAACAGATTGTCCTGAACCTTTCATTATAAAAATCCCTTTATTTCATGTTTGTTTCCACTGGTTGCTCAGATTTCTTCTCACTAAGATCCATTTGTAAATTAAACATAAAAATCTCCAACTCCAAGCTAACATCCTATTCAAAGACAGGATGGCGTCCCATTGTTTGCCCAGCATGGGGAACACCAACTTCTGTTGTACAAATGGTGTGTGGTCATCTCTGAAGGCTGTGGAAAAAAAAAAAAAAACTGTTTAATTCAAGGATTACCTCCCTGCATGCTTTTCTGCAGAACTGAGTCAGATAATAGTTAGTTTCCATGACTTCCAAATTGAATCTCCCAGAAAACTTGCAGGGGGGGAGAAATAAAAAAACTAATTGTAAATATGAATAAATGCAAAATCAAAATGCTGCTTTTTTTGGTAAACTTAAGAGTCAACTCAAAAGAGCCAGTCATTTGCCTTTTCGTAGTGAACATAAAAATTAAAAAAAAACACAAAAAAACAAAAGCCTTGAGTTGGTTTGCATTCCAGAAAATATAATTAATACCTAAATACTAACTTCTAAAAATTCTTCAACTCTTATTTGCCTTGAGTGATGCTGAAGTTTATTAGAAGCCCTGGTCAAGTACGCCAAACGTATGCACACTTTATTCTCTGGGAGTGTTATTTGAGTAGCTAAGTTATACTTAACAAGCTAGCTTTCCTAATACCCATCTTTTAATCTCTGTGAGGGTATGGTGCAAAATGCATTAACAATACCAAACAAATCTTTGTGGTAGCAGAAAATATGAATGATGATTCTGTTTTAATTTAATGTTTAATCACCCTAATTGGTACCGTATTCCTATGTACATTCGAGGTGCTGTTTTAAGCATTTTCTGTCTCTCTCCATGCCTTAAAATAATATAAACAAAATATTAAACAAAATTCGCTAAAGTTCTGTTGCTTAACTTGGGACAAAAATAATGTGACAAAAATTCTGTTTAAAGCTTCTTATTTTGACAACCAATTTTAAATGATGCATCCATTTCAGATGCTTATTTTAAACTAGGAAATGCAATTCCTAATATATTCAACAGAAATGTTATTTCTTTCTCTTTGCACATTTCCATATGTAATGGTTATGTTTCCATCTACTTTTACAGCCAATTATGAAGGAACAAAAGCTATTCTGTTTGTTCACACATTTTCAACAAAATGCATTAAAACTATTATGTCAGCATGTTCTATTAAGCTCTGCATTCAGTGGAAAATACTTTTCAACCAGCTCACATTTATCAAAACATAAAGCCACTTTAAAACACAGTTTTGCTTGGTCAGCTGGGCTTAGACAAATAATGACAGATTCAGAACTAAATAACTAGCAAGGGAAATCAGAAAACTGACTTCATCAATTGTACACATTACAATGTAGTTGCTTCAAATATTTAGCACATCTGTGCTCACGATTAAAGGGCATTTTAATTCTTTGTAACTTGCAAACATCTGATATTCTCATAATATATAGAGAAAATAAAAAGAAGGTTACTTTACAGGATTTAGCCGATTATTACTTTCCTGTGCTTGAATTCTGCATTTGTGCTGCTTCAAGACTCACTTGAGAATTTTCAAGTTTTTCAACCTGAACATTTTTATATTTAGGATTGTGCTAACTGGACGGAAAATATAGATGCTTAAAAATAAATGCCTACTTGCTTCTAAGAAAGAGACTGTGTTAAAAAGATGCCCATATTTTAGCTTAGATTTTCACAACATTTTAATAAGCTGACATTTGATCTCACTGTAGAGTCAACTAATTTAATTTCCTGATGTTTATGAACACCAAAAAAAAAAATTCCTGGTATCTATTTTGATTTATTTCAAAAGCAGGTGTCGCTACACTGTAATAGTTCTTAACTTTAAATCTATCTGCATTCTAAACAGAATTCCAATGACATAGCTTTTAAAAAAGATAAAACATGAGCACTAGTTTAAATCTTTAACTACTAAAGGGAATATTTTAAGTTGTGATAAGACACACATACACACACAAACCAACATGTTCTAATTCATTTTCCCGACTGCTACCTTGTATCTTTCTGAATAATCTGTTACACAGGATTGCAACTGGTGACCCCATTGTAGTAAATACAGTTGCCTTGTTCCCTGTACTATGGTAAAAATAACATTCCAGTTCTTTTTTTATGGATTTTGCATGCAAATTCATTTTGTAATCCTGGTCAGATAGGAAGATTTAAGAAGTAGTGGTTTTTTAAGTATGTACACACAAAAAGATATTTGGAATGTTCTGGGTTTTTTTTTTTTTTTCCCTGGGGGAGGAGGATGGGGTGATCTTACAGCTCCATCCAATTTATACTAAAATCCCAAATGTCTTAGTTCTTGTTTTACTATTTAGGTACTTGATTTCCCAATTCAAATTTGTCCGTTTTTCATCATCTGAACCAAACACTGAAGAATAGGAGGCAGAAAATTGAAGTGTTCCAGGATATCTGTCTACTGAGAAAACAAAAATAAAACTATGCCCCACACAGAAAGGTTTAACCAGCCAGGGGGAAAAAAAACAACAAAGCAAAACAAAACACCACCACCACTCTTCTGCCACATTTAGTTTTCTTTTTTGGAGCTTCTCAGAAAGAGTTTTCACTTTACTCCCCTTTACTTTAAGATCACATTCACAATTTCAACAGAACCTCTTGTGATCGTGATTTTGGAGCCCATAATTTTAACAGGCTGTTCCTTTTCGCAGGCCAATTTAGAAAGGCTATCACAAACATTTTTGATTGATTGGTCTTTTACCTTTTATCTTTTTTTTTGCACAGACCTGAGAAAAAGCCTGAACCTCAGTGTTCAGCTTAAAATTCCAAAGAGATTTTAAACACTGCAACATATGCCATGCATATTTTCTGTAATGTCTTAAGTTTCCTCTGTGTGATATGCAACCAAATGACAAATTTACTGGCACCTTTCAAGTTTCCTCAGTGTTGTGACTGGGATCAGTGTATTCTCCAGTGGAAGAATCCAAGTGAAATCTTTGAAAAAAAAAAAACAACACGGACAAGACACTCCTTTTAAAATAGTGATACAAGCCCACCTAAGGTACACCAGAAATGAAAGGGGGAAAATGTCTTCCCCTTGGATGAATCAAACTGAACACTAGATGGGGTTCCAGTTGCAAGGGTTTGTTCAAAAACTTCTTTGTGGCTTTCCTATTCCAGTGACGCGTAAAAGAGAGACTCCTTAAGACGAGATCTAAACTTTGACTACATAAACATTGGCAAAGGCACAAGAAACTAAATCCCTGTTGTTTGAGGGTAAAACTGGGCTATGGGAACTACCTGTCAATCTTCCCCTTTGGGGGTCTGGCATCTGAGGGTGACAGGGGAATAAGGTTAGGAAAAGAAGCCAAGCTGATAAGGTGAAACTAAAATAAACTACTAACTTCCTGCTAAGTGACTAGCAGGACTCAATTTGGGGGTCACTGGGAAGATACTGAAGGACATATTATGATCTGGACCTTGTCACCTTTGCATGGGAGGGGGCTAGCAAAGGTTAAAACAGCCCGACACATCTAGGTTTTCTGAAGCCTGGCACACAAAGTTTTTTCTTTTGCGGGGGAGGGGTGGTGGTTCTTAGGATAATTTACCATCTCCTTCGCAATACTGCTAAATTACTTCAGTTTGGGTAATCTAAGAATATTTTGGAAGACAGGCTTAGCTGCACCAGGACATATCTTAGAAAAACCAAATTAAGACTGCAGGAGGAATTTGATTCTGGTTACTACACAGAGCTTGGCTTTTCACAATTTCAAAAAACTTGGGGAACTGACTAGCCTACCAATTTCTTCCCCAATTTCCCAGTGAGATTTCCACATTAAAAAATGTTGGTTTCTGTCTTTGAAAGGACTGTTGGTAAAAAAATAAACATAAAAAACTTGCTACCTACAAACATAGAGAGGAATGAAATAAAGTCCCCCAAGAATTCCCTATAAATTGTCACTTGCGCCCATAAACTATAGGACAAACTTGATGTAAAATAAACCACAAAACATTCAGTATCACAAATTTACTTTCACACATCCTCTCCCATGCCTACATACACTTTGCTTGTTTGTGTGTTTTTGTTTTTAACATTTTAGGAAGCATATGCAACCCGAGGCAAATCCCCCCCAAAACAGTTCGCATCTTTTCATTCAGAATCTTCCATTATGCCACAAACTTAAGGTAGGCCTGATTAAACATAAATTCTTTCCAATTGCCTTATCTTGCAGGTGTCGGCATTTTGAAAAAAGCAATTCATTATAGTTCTCTCTAACCTTTTAGGCCCAGAAATCAATGTGTTGCCATTAAGCTGCTCGCAATGAGTAAATTACTTTGGTAAATAATAGAATTTCATTATTAATATAAATGAGAAGAATTTTTATGACAGTCAATGTTTCATCTGCAGTTCATGATGTTTTAATCTTTATTCCAATATTATCATTTCCTTGAAAAACAGCTGAGCACCAAAATACTTCCTTAATAAATAAAGGGAGCCTGAATGGGCTCTCCACGTTTTACAGGAATCTTGAAAACACAACACAACCCAAGGAAGAAGAACCCGAGACACACACACACACACACACACACACACACACACACACACACACACCCCTGAAATCCAAATTTCTAGTAAAGAACCCACATACAAAATCATTAGACTCTAATATTCCCTTTCCTCAGAATTATTTGTCTCGGTACACACTTTTTCCAATGGCAGTCACCATTCTACAAGTAATTCAAGACTTGTTGAATATATTTAAGAGACAAGTCATATTTGCCATAATCTTGGGTTTCATAGGAAACAGAAAAATCCCCAGGTTTATTTTTCAGAGTGTTTCTGGTATACCAGATTCACTAAAGTAGAATTACAACATGAACACTGTAAGATCAACAAAAATAATCTTGTTTTCTTGAACTTGTTCCGATGAAGTTCTCAGTGTGGTTGTTGAGCATGGCTCGGGTTTTCTTTGTACGTGCACACACACTCACACACACACATGCATGGCACCCAGAACAGTGGCCCTGGCTGGTCCCAAGGCTGGGGAGTCACCTTTTCAGGGCTACTGTAACTGGGCGACACAGAGTTTTCTACGTTCCACTCGAGGCAGACAGTGTAAAACGTGAAGGTGCTAGCCTATGACAAGAGCATCAGCTAGATTTAATTTGGTATGCCCATATTTCCTTTGCCACATTTTAAGACCATTTCAAGGTGTAAGAAAAAGTAATCACATTGCATACAGGTTTGTCTTCTAAAAATTTAACAACCTTATATTTCAGTAAAAAAAAAAAAAAAAGAAACCCCAAAACAAAAATTCCCCCAAAGCCAACAACTCCTTGAAGCGTGTGTTATGTGTGGGGAGAAACTGGATGGCTGAATCCACTGCAGGAAAGGTGGTGACTTTTTAAAGGTAACTTTGAGATATAGCACCAACTCCCAGTTCCGTTTAACTCACAACTATTCCCAAATAAAAAGAACTGGAGTGTGTAAGGCCCTGCTGTAAGTCAGACCTTGAGGAGGATTAGTTGTGTACTAATATTATTACAACATACTAAATCCTGTAACCCTATTACAAAATCTACCCTCTAGGCAGCTTCTCCCAAACTTATTGTTCAACCATGTAAAAACAGTCATAACCTAAAATCATTACTACCAAAGAAAAGGGGGGGGGTGGGCAGAGGGGAGAGAGGGGCTGGGAGGGGGAGTGTTTCCTACCGCGCCCCTCAGTTTACTGCTTCTTAGGACAATGAACCAGCTTTGGGGGGTAAAAAAGAAAGAAGAAAGAAAGTAAAATAAAGAGGAAAAAGAAGGGAAACTTGATTCAGTTCCTTAATTAACTTACCTCAAAGCTCAAATAAACTAAAAAAAAAAAGTCCTAATAAATAATAATGGTAAGAGGTAGTGAACTCCTTTTATGCTATCGATTTATGAGAAACCTTAACTATTAAAAATTCAGGATTCAGAAGGCCATAGGAAAAAGGAAAAGACCAGGCAAGCATCACTTCTCCGCGAAGCCCGCGTGGTTTTTTTTTCCTGAAAATGTATGGAACCAGTACAAATTTATAAAAAAAGACTAAAAAGCCTTTTCTTTGGTGTTTCCTATATTCATTGTTAACTTTAATAGTATTACAGTGCGGATGGTCTCATTAGAAACTTCAGGAAAAGATGAGTGAGGGGGCGAGGACACATGAAGCCAGCTGAGAAAACCCGGAAAAATATTCGCAGCTGCTGCAGAGGCCCGAGGTCATTCCACCTCGATTTACCTCGAGTACCCAGCTTCGCCTGGGGTGGGAAACGAGGTTCAGGGGGGCTCTTCTCAGCGGACTGAGAAATCGCAGAGACTCTGTGTAAGGCTTGAAGCTTGAGAAAGTACGGGGTGGCGGTGGTGGGGGGAACAAACGCTGTAAACAATTTTCTCGATCAGTCTCAGTGCACCCCAGTTTCTCACAGGGACCCCCACGCCAGGGGTTCCCTTTCCCGACTGCCAGCGGGTGCAGGGAGCTGGGGTCTGCCGGCTTCTCTGCGCCGGTCCTCGCGTCCCAGCTCTACTGAGAAGCAGGCCTCTGGGGAAGGAGCCGGGAGCGTGGGGCCCGGGCGGCGGCAGAGTTGAGTGGACAGAGGTGCCGATCGAAGGGCCGCTCCTGAGCCCTGTCGGGGTCCAGCTCCCTCCTCCACACCCCACAATGCCGCCCGGGACTCAAGCATCCGGGGAGACATGAGGAGCCTCTGAGACCACGCCAGGGCTGCCCCTGGTCCTCATGGGGCCCGGGAGCCGCTCCATCGCCTCCGGCGCGGGGCCTGGGAGCTCGGAGGCCCCTAAACCGAGACCCATTCAGGGACAAGGAGGGATCCGCGGTGTCCTCCGCCCGTACCCCAGATTTCCCGCCCGACCTCGCCCACTCTTGGCCTCAGCCCCCTCACACAAACTTTGTTCGGGGCTTGTTCGTTCCCTCCGGGACCCCGCAGTTGTCGCTTCCAAAGGAGAAAGCGAGTGCCTCCGTTTCAGGGGCTTCTCCTCGGGCTAGAGAGCCCTCGGGCCCTGGAAAACGACCGCTGCGTCTCTTGAAAAATGGGGTACCACGGCCCTCGGGGGGTAGATTTCTTGGGATTGGGGGGGATGCATGTTTTGGGAGGAAAGGTGCGGGGATGACCGTGGGCAGCCGGAGTCCGACCCTTTCTCCCGTCCGCCGGCACTGTCTCCGGAGCGACCAGCAGCCAAGAGCCCCCCCAACCTCTCCACGACCCCAGCGTGTCAGGCGCGGGCGCCCCGACATCGGTTCCCATCTTCCTGTAGCTCTGAACCCCGAAAGGCACCCCATTCGGCGGTGCGGACCCAGGTGGAACGTGAGTGGGGTGGGGTGGGGGGCGCAGGGAGCTCCCCATGCTCCGAGTTCGGCACGGAGCACGGAGTCAACTTCCTTCCCGCCAGCAGCAGGGCCGGGCGGCGGAGGCCCGGCCGGGGGCCCCGGGCGCGGCGCGGGGAGCGCAGGACCCCCGCGCGGGTCGGTGCGGACCGCCTCTGCCCGCCCCCCCGCGGGACCCCGGGACCCCCGCCGCGGCTTCGCGAGTCCTGGGATCCGCTCCCCGGAAGAGCCGGGACGGAGGCGCAAGGCCGGAGTGCCCTCTCTCCCCTCCGAGGAGGACCCTGCAACTCCGGAAAGATCCCGCCGGGATAAGTGTTTGCTTTCCCCGGGGCACAGGGAAGCCCAGCGGAGGCAAACTGAAAATTAAACAGGAAAAAACAACAAAAAAAAATGCGCCGGGTCTCCAAGGAAAGCGGGGCCGCCGCGGCGGGGCGGTGGGCGCGGGAGCCCGCCGCGTGTGCGTGGGTTCCCGGGGTGCGTGGATGTGAGCGCGCGTGTGCGCGTGTGTCCGCGCCGCGGGCCGGAGCACTCACCATCTCGCCGGGGGAGCGAGGCCACTTCGGGGTCGGATTGGAAATGTTGAGGCTTCGCTTGCTTCCTCCGCGACATGCTGGCTCAAACATCAGCTGGGGCAGAATAAAAAATTACTAAAAAAAAATCTTCTCAAAATTACGGAAATCGAGCGGCGGCGGCGGCAGCGGCTCCCCCCGCCCGCCGGCCCGCCCGCCCCCTCCCCGGCTCCCCGGCCCCCCGGCCCGGGGCGCAGCGCGCATGTGTCCTGCTATAATTATGATTATCAATAATGCATTGCGATTAATCATAGAGGGGCTCTTTGAAAGGCGATTGGCACCGGGCCAGCGCTATTCAAACCCGCTCGCCTTAATCAATTAGTTCGTGATTTGCTGCAGACCCCTGTCTCTCCGCGCGCTGGCCCAATAAGCCGGCCGCGGGGCTGGCTCTGCGCGCCGCGCCGCCCGGCACTCGGTTAACCCTCTTCGCGGCCGCCCGGGACTCCGCGGCCCGGCCGCGGGGGGCCGGCCTCCTCGCCTCGCCTCTGCGCCCTGGGCGCTCCGGCCCGCGCCCCCCTCCCGGCAGCACCGCCCCCCCCCATCCCGGGCTGGGCCGACCCAAATTAGCATGCCCTCCCCGGAGTGAAGCTGCCCGGGCGGGGGGTGGGGCCGGGCCGCAGGGGCTGGAGACCCGGGCGGCGGGCGCGCCGCGAACTTCCCAACTCCGGCGCTAGGCGCGCCGGCCGGCCGGCCTGGGGGAGGAAGTCCAGCGGCGGGAGTGTTTCTTCGTTTCTTTAAGAGCTACCAGAAAGCAGTCCACCCCCCACCCCCATAAAAAAAAAAATAAGCGAGTGGGGACGAGCCAGCCCCANAGACCCGGGCGGCGGGCGCGCCGCGAACTTCCCAACTCCGGCGCTAGGCGCGCCGGCCGGCGGGGGGGGGGGAGGAAGTCCCGCTTCGTGAGTGTTTCTTCGTTTCTTTAAGAGCTACCAGAAAGCAGTCCACCCCCCACCCCCATAAAAAAAAAAATAAGCGAGTGGGGACGAGCCAGCCCCACGCCGGTCCGCCTCCCGCCCGCGGTCAGGCCTCCCGCCCGCTCGCCGCCTGGCTCGGCGCTCCATCGCCCCGAGTTCTCCTGCCCCTGGATCCCGGGCTCGCGGGGGCGCGGAGAAGAGGACCCAGGAAAGGTTTGGGAACGTAATGGGTTTGGGGCCGGGGGGGAGGGGCGGCGCTCCCGCCACCCCGATCCTTCTCGAAGGGCCCGGATCCGCCAGCCTTCGCTTGCTCCCTCGCTCCCTTTCTCTACCTCGGACATTCCCAGGACAATTAGGGCTGAAGTTTTCGGGAGAAGCAGCCCCGAGCCGTGGGATAAGGGGCGGCACGGCTCCGCCCAGGTCCCCTCCTGGACCTCCCCCCCGGCCGCCCGGGTTGGCTACGGGGCGCGTCACTCCGCGGGGAGGCGGTGGCCGCGGTGGCGCCGCCGAGCCCGGGGCGGGCGGAGAGCCGGGACCGGCCTGGGATCCGAGTTCAGCTCCCGCCGGGGGGAGGGGAGGGGCCGCCGCTTACCCTGCGCGCTGCAACCCGCCCCCGGCCGCGAGAGGCGCGGCCCGGCCGGGCTGGGCCCTGGGCGAGGCCAGTCCCCGCGACCCCCAGGCTCCCTGCCCCGGGGGTGGGGGCCGTGCCCCAGGCTCCTGGCGACAAGGTGGCCAAGCTGAGCCCGGAGTGAGTGCGTGCGTGTGTGTGTGGGGGGGTCCCTGTCCGTTGCTGCCTGGCCCCGCGGAAGCTCGCCTCCACCTCGGGCACTTGCCGAGCGCGGCACCCAAACTTTTCGCACGAGCTCCATCTCCCCAGGCGAGGAGGCAGCCTCCCTACCCGCGCGCCCCAGAGCCCCGAATCGGGAGCCCGGGTCCCTCACTCCCTCCTCTGGGCTCGGGCGCTTGCGAACCTGAGGCTCAGTTCTCGGAGCAGCCTAGCTCTTCCCCTCGCGCCTCGGGGTCTCTTCGCTCCAGGGTTCCCGAAGTCCTGCGCCCGAAGGACAAACTAAACTTCGGCTGAGTGATGGGGAGGAACGGGGGGGTGGGGGTGCAGATACACAATCCCTGCCCTATCTCGCGATCGGGAAAGGAGAGGGCTCATAAGGACGCCCCAATTCGGGAGCGCCCTTGAGTCTGGGTAGCACCACGGTCGGTTCGCGCGAAGTGGGCACGGATCTTCCGAGTAGAGTTTCGGGTACTCCGGTCCCTCACCGCGCTTCCCCCAGTGATCTCTCTCAGCGTCTTGGGCCTTTTAAAATTATATATATGTATAATCTAAATCTTTTGTGTATGGGTAAATGTTTCTGTTTTTCTCCTGCCGACCATTTTCCCCCCCGTTGGTGTAACTTCTTTCTTTCTTCTTGTTCGTCCTTTCTTCACCTTTTTCTCTTCTCCCTCTTTATTTTTCCTCTCTTCTGCCCTCGCTTGGTCCCTAACACACACACACACACACACACACACACACACACACACACCATCTCCGCCTTGTTCTCCCTTTCTCCCCAGGTCCTGTTGGTTACAGTAGATTTTGATAAAAAGACAAACGAAGCTATCAGTGAAGCTGATGTTGAAGAATGAAGATAATAATGTTTCCATAGGTGGTGCCTCAAATGCCATTATTTCTCACTGAATATTTAAAGAGATCCCTCAGCAAAGATGGATCTGCGTGCTCCTGGGGTGCGGGCCGCTCGCTTTCCCCAGCCCCCCGGGAAAGTGTACAGGAGCACGTGTAAATCCCGCACCCACCCCTCCCCGCAAACGGTGGTCCTCGCGACTCTCCCAGGTACACGGACGCATCCGTGTGCACTCGCACACCCGTTTATCTGGATAAGCCCGCGTTAGGAGCCGCCCGCTCCAATCTTGGCCTCTTGGAAGTCCGGGCCTCGGGGCACCGCGTGCCTCCAGGAACCTAGCAGAGCCGGAGATCCCGCAAACGCTTCTGCCCGGGACGCGCCTCGTGTGCCCCGGGGAGCTCCCGGGAATAGCTTCACACGTGTAAGATACTTGCTCTATGTGTGAATAAGATTGGGGGGGGGCCTTCCCTCCCCCCAAAACATCAGAACAAACAACCAAACGAATGCACACGCAAAGGCAGCTTCGCGATGTTTAATTAAAAATGGGCGAGCAGAGACTAACTAATTCGGGGGATCCAAACTTTAGTAACTTTTTTCGTTCTTTTGCGTCCTCGACGGCGTACAGGCGGGCGTCTCGCTCTGTGCGCCGCATCCCCCGCTAATTTCTTGTTTGTTTTCTTTCCCTCTGTGGCCCGGAGAGGAGAAGGGAGGTGGAGGAGGGGGGATGGGAGGAGGGGAATGGTCGAAATGGCGGGGAGAGGAGAGTTAGGCTTTATTGTTGATGGCAATACATCAATTACGGGCCGTTGTCTCGGGCCCAAGTTTCTTGGTTCGCTGACGCGAGCGCCGCAAAGTCAGGACGCCGGTGAGGCTTCGCGTGCTGCGAGGCAAAAAAATAATTAAATTAATAAAAACAAGAGACAGAGTAGGGGTTGATTTTTACTTTTGAGCGGGTAGAAAGAAGGCGGCGAGTGCGAGTGAAGTGCTCCAGCTGGAGCCCATCCCCACGGCTTGCTCACCCAAGGGATCAGGGCGCTCTGCAGGGGCTCGCGCGGTGCCAGCCTTGGGTGGGGCAGCTGCTGGGGAAATCGGGGTGACGGGATTCGGACTTGCCATTTCCACCAGACAGCCTGACACTTTGGGGCCGATCCACGCTAGACAATGGGGGTGGCCCGAAGTGAGGCAGCGGCTGCGCCAGGGTCGTGACCTCGTGGGTCGACAAGAACCGCGCCCCGGAGCGGCGCTTGGAGAGTTGTGCAAACTCACATTTTGGGGGCGGCCTGATGCCTTCATTTCTACCAGTCCGTCCCCTCGGGTTTCCCAAGACATACAGCATCCTTGGTGAGTTGGCAAGGCCCGAAGGGCTGTGCCCCAAGGCCGCGGGCCACAACTGAATTCCCAGCAAAGGGGTTTCCGAGCCTCTCAGCTTGGTCCCCGATCCTGGAAAGGGGAGAAGGGGTAGGGCCTTCCCTTCCGGAGGCTCGGTTGTTTCACTCCCCAAAATATCTTCTTCTGGCCCAGTCTGACCCCGGGGTCTGGGATGGAGCCTGGAATGAGGCCTGGCCTGGGCCCCCGGACCCCCCTTCTCTTTCCGCGGGCGCTGGTTGGGCACCCGCGAACTGAAGGACGCCCCCACGCGCTCTGCGGGTGCCCCAGCGCCCCTACTTCCCCAATCCCCAGCCCCAGCCCCCGCTGGCCCCTGGCCTGAGCTCGAAGGGCAGTAGCGGAGGTTTCGTTTTCTTAAGCCACGAAGAGAGCGGGGAAGAGGCGGCCCCGGCGCCCCGGGGGCGGGGGTGGATGCACAGCGATGGTATCACATTATTGATGGGGAAACGTTCAGGGCGGGAGCCCGGAGATCAGGTTCCCAGTCCCTCCCCTCCCCGGAGGTGGGAGGGACGGAGTGGGTGGTGGCGGTGGTGGCGGCGGCGGCGGCGGCGGCGGTGGTGGTGTATGTGTTGGGATGAGGACACCTGAATGCACCGGCATTAACCACTCCGCGTTTATTTGTATTTTTCTCATCTGAAAGTTTGGGGAGGGGGAAAGGGAGGCAGCATTGAGGTGGTTAGTACCCTAGCCCTTGGTACTCTCTCCTTGAGTTGGGGTGGTGGTAGAAAAATGACAGAAAGCAAAGACCAAGATTGGAAAGCTCTCCGTAGGCTCGGCTCTTTTCCAAGCCCTGGGACTTGCCTTTCCCCGGAGTTTCAGAAACTCCTTCCTTAACCGAACTGCTGTCGCTCAAATCCTAACGTCTCCTCCGCCACTGGAAAAGCTTCGAATCCGAGGCCTTGGGGAGCAGGCTTGGTGGGCACCCCCGGTCTCGGCACGGCGAAGGCTACGCTGTGTGCACCCTGCGCGCTGGCTCTCCAGCCGTCAACTCCCGGTGGCGCAAAGGCGCCCTTTCCGGGGGACTCCGCCGCCCACAGCCAAGGGCTATCTCCAGCCCGGCGCCGGGTGCAGCGCGGGGACCAGGCTCCCAGGCGCCGGCTCCGGCGGGAAATTCAGCGGTGGTGAGCGGAGGGCGGACTTGGTAACCAGCCGCACGCGTCCCAGCCGAGGGTCCCACACCGCCCGCCCGCCCGCGGCAAACTTCGTCTGTCAAATCTTGCAGGACCATCCCCACGCAGGCATTTAGAATCTCACTTCGCTGGCGACCGCAAGTGCTGGTTGGTGCCTGCGAGTTTTACTTTCCGTCCACCTCGAGTGTCTTGCACTTAAATTCACTGCGCCCCGCATGCAACAGTGCCTCACTAAGGGGTGTCTGGGTATAAAATTCCTCCCAAAGGAAATGTCTCAAGGTAGAGAAAGTGGAAAAGACTAATCGAATTTATAAGGAGAAAACCTTTGCTTCCTTCTGGTTGAAATCCCTTTGCGGTTTTCTGAGCGTGGCAAAAGAAAAAAAGGACAGAAATCATCACCATGCAAACGAGTGTAGCCAGTCTCTGGAACCCAGTGCTAACTAAGTCGGCTGAACCCCAGAGGGCTCACAGACCCCCATTTTCGAGCTCAAGAAGTAGGATTTAGGGATCCAGTGAAGAGTGATGATTTCTTACATGGCATCTGTTGGGAAGAGTGTGAGATCTGTATGCTGTGTGCATTTGGGTGGGAGTGGTGGGGGGTGCCTGGGGGTCTTCCAGGAAACTTATTTTCATTCATAGAGTCCCTGAAATGACCTCCCTATCAGACGTTTAGATGAACTAATTTAGCAAATTTCTTGCAAACTTTAAGAAAACTATACTCTTGTCACTTTCTCTAGCAACACGTACCTTTCTAAAGAACAGATTTAAAAAAATCTCAGAGATGTGCATCTTGGTTTTATGAAAAGCTTGTGTGCAGTGAGTCCTTGCGTGGGGATGACTTCTCCTGGGGCCGTGTTCATGGAGGAAAACACCTTTTGGTTTCTGTTCCGTAGAATTCAAATGGCCAGGTCTGATTTCAGAACCATCCTGGGGGGCCAGGCCCTTGTCTGCCTGGCAGCCTGTGAGCAAGGCCTGCCTGCCATTCACATTATTGGTAATTTACAAATCCCTCAAGTCTCTGCTGAGCTGTGACTTTCATAGGGAATATTTCTTTGGGTTTCTCTCCGCTGAGAAAGTGCTGCTCAGCGTGAGGGAAAGATGTGTTTCTCCTGGGGCTGCACTTTGAGTCAGAATTGTAGCTTTCCCCTGTCCCCACGACAAACTTTAATTCATCAGTCCTGTGCCTTCAGACCTTCTTAGCTCCCTATGTGTGATGAATAAGAACGGGTGGGGGGGAGGGGGGCAACCCCCATCCCTTCTCCTTCTGTTTCCTTTTCTGACTCAACAGTGTTCTTAATTATTACACTATCATTTCTTTCTCTCGGTTTCCAGCTTCATCTGTCCAGCCGCAGGAACACCACTGCTCTCTGGAAATTAATATACATTGTAACATGCACCTTTCAATTTTAGAACCTGGCATCTCCCGGTTCCAAACCTGTGTCTCCCTGCTTCCTTGTGTCTTCTCAAAACAGAAGCAATTATCTAAGCCATAATCCTGAAACCATCAACACTTACACCCTAATGTCAGGAACTAGCTCGAACTTCTTCCTCTTCCCGTTGATAATTCTCATTCTGTCCTGGCCTCCACTCTTTCGTCCTGGGCTCCCCACCCCCACCCCCACCCAAGACTCTGACATATTTTGTAGTAAAACCTTGAGAGGCCTCGCTCAGCACTTGGCTCAGGCTGGAATGGATGTAACTTTTGCTTAGTACGTGGCTCAGGCTTTGCTGTGCCTTTACCCAGGGACTGAAAACAGAAAGATGCCAGCAGATCTCTTTCTCCTACCCAAACCATAATGATTCCAGGGGAATTGGAGATGGAGCCCCCATTTTCCAGGTTTGTTATTATTTTCCCTCTCTTTCCTGGACCCCACAGAACCTCCAGTTTGGGGGAATAGCAGTGAGAAAACCTGCCTCGTATGTCAGCCCCCTTCCACAATCTCTCTCTTTTTTTTTTTTTTTTACTGATTTCAGATATTTGCCACAGACCAGCTTCATTTCACATTTCCTGCATGGGCATTGGAGTCAGGCTGTTGGGGTTCACATCCTGGCTCTGTCATTTAACAGTCCTGGCTGTGCACCATGTAGGGGGTAGCCTTGGTCAAATTAATGTCACTACCCTCTGTTTCCTGCTCCATAAAGTGTAGCTAATGGAGAGGGAACACAATGCTTGCTCTGCCTCTTCCTAGCAGCGTGACCTCCATATGTCTCCAAGAGTTCCTTCATCTGGTAAATGGAGATAATAAGAGTCCTTATTTCATAGAGCTCTTGAGGGTTAAAAGAATTAATGTGTGTGAAGAATTTGGAATAGTGGCTGGCATATAATTAGCACAATGTAAATGTTAACTATTATTGTTATTACCTCACAGGGTTGTTGTGAAGATCAAATGATGGTTAAAATGTCATCATCCATCCATCCATCCATCCAATCCATCCATCCATCCGTCCGTCCATTTATTCACTCTACAGAGTGAATGTGCTAGGCTTAGGCGATACAACTGTGAAACAAACCCTTCTTTGCCTGTCCTTGTTGGCGGATGATGAATCACAGATTATTTCCTGGGAACATGTTATTGTGTGACTCAGTATTGAGGGTGAGTGGAAGGTACAGGAGCAAAGGTGAAAGGGGTGCTTGATCTCAGGGAATTGCTAACATTTTAACAGGAAGCCCCAACTAATAAAGAAAATTGACACTGGAGTAGGTTATGCATGAGCCCAAGCCCAATTGTGCGGAAGGGTCACCTGGGCCCTGGACAAACCGTCTTCCTGCTTCTGGAAAGTTTATGAGCCCTGGTGGATGTGTAAGTGGCCTGTTGCTTAGGCACAGCCTGTGTTCACCTGGCTGTTTTATTTGGATCACATTTGTTTTGATCTGTTTTGGTTTTTATTTTTTTATTTTTTTCAATTGTGTAGACTCCTCGAAGTTTATGCAGAAAACAATAAAACAGGTGCTGTTTTTCTTGGGGCCCCTTGAAAGGTATAAACTACTTACAGTGTTGACTTAGGCCTTACTTTTCTGGCTTTTTTTTGCTTTCCGTTTTTGTCAGATTCTAAAAATTAATCATGGTCATTACAATAGAGCATTCTGCAGCCAAAGCTAAGGTTTGGGCTGGAAAACCTTCCTATTGGCCTGTCCTACCCTCCCAGGTGTGTGTCTATTCTGGACTGAGAGCCGCTAATGGCCGCTGCATGGATCAACTCATTATTACCATTAGAACCATATTGTGACCAAATGTAATTTAACATCCACTGGCAGGATGCAAAAAGTGCTCTTGCGAACACTCCCACCCCCACCCCCATGGTTTGAGATTAAAACACTTTTTATGGGCAGAATCTGGAAAAAGAATGAAAGTCTGAGCAAAACTACCTGTTAGCAGTGGGGCTGTGTGAAGTGGGAGAGATGAGAGTGTACGTGCGCGGCTGTCAAGGTCATAACGGCTTCCCGGGAAGCACAGCAACTGTAGTTTAAGACATTCGCAGATGTCAGAGAGTGGAGGGCGAGGTTTCTTTTTTCCCTCGTGTTGAGGGAGTAGACTCGATTTAATCTGTCACTTGATGTCCTCCTCAAAAATAGTGCCCAGGGGCCTCCAGGGGCTTTATTTAGAGGCTCTCAGGAGCTTGGCAGTATGTAAATTATGCATGAGTGTCCTTCATAGTTCCCCGTGGTCACAATCTGGGGGATTTAAACATGATTTAGCATTTCAGATGATTTGTAGGAGTGCTAGAGCCAGCCAGGGCAGCGCGAGAGCCCAGGCTGGTTTTCTCACCATTGCATTAAATAGGTTTCCATGTGTTGGCTGCTCAGCCGGTTCTCCTCCTGGCTTCTAAGTGAATCTATGAGAGGCCACCCACTGTTGGTGGGTGGCCTTTCAAATGCCTTCACTGTATCAGGGAGTTCTGAGATTTTTTTTTCCCCAAACCAAAGGTTTTATAAGTTAAAAAAAATACAATTCAGTCTACAGTGACCCTTCACCTTCTCATTAATTCATTTACTTACAAATTCATTTACCGACATTTATTGAGCACTTACTATATGCCAGTCTAGGCATGAAGGATACAATGGTGACAAGACAGGTAAGATTCTTGCTCTTCTCATGACAGGGATTTAGATAACAAAAAAAATTCAGTAAGTTCAGGGAATGGTATGCACTTTAGAAAATATAAACTATGTGTGAAGTGATGGGGAGTGATGGGTGGAAACACAGGGAGCAATATTAGGGGGACCAGGAAGGCCTCTGAGGAAGTGACCTCTGAGATGTGAATGATGAGAAGACGTCAACTTTGCCAAGTTTTGGGGACATACACATCCCAGGCCAACAACAGAGCACATGCAGACATCCTGAGAAGGGGACATGCTGAACGAAGTTTGCTCCGTTTTCTTCTCCCCTTTTCCCCTTCTCCTCCTTGTTAGTACACTTTCAGGAGGATTAGGTAAATCAGTTTTCCTTATTTTAAAAATTGGTTTCCCCAGGTGAATGGCTAAAATAAATTGTGGACTCTCTGCGCTGTGGAATACTACTCAGCCATAAAGAGGAATGAAGTCCTGATTCTTGCAATGATGTGATGAGTCTCAAAAGTACTCTGCCAAGTGATAGAACCAGAACCAAAAGAGCGCATTCAGTTATCATTCCACGTAAATAAACTCCTAGAAAAGGCAAACTATTCTAGAGTGACAGAGAGTCAAGCAGTGATTTAATGGTTGCCTCGCAATGGAGTGGGAGGGAAGGAGCGATTGCTAAGGGGCACAGGGAAACTTTGGGGGGCAATAGAAATGTGTGTTATCTTGATTATAATCATGGTTTCATATACTTACATACATATTTCAAAACTGATCAAACTGTACACTTGACATATATGTGATTTAGTATATTTCATTTATATCCCTATAAAGTTGAAAAATTAGGTTTCTCACTTCAAAAAATGTTGGAAATGGCTGTTATGGAAACAGAATTTAAAGAGAAAATGGAAATTGTGACTGTCATATTTAAACACCTGAACCCTAAAAGTTCTCTGGGGCTTGGTCACGTTTGATCTGGGGACAAGTATTGCCTTGGGTGGGGATGGGACTGGGGTTGGTATGAAGCCACCTACATTGACCCTGGAAAAAGCATAAGGTTTTCCTTGTGTTTCTGAGTAGTAGTGACTTCATTATTCTACCCAGAAACAAAAAGTCCTTTGAAAGCCAGGTACTAATCTTGTCTCAGAATGAAAGGCCCTGCGCGTGGTGGGAGAGAAGGTCACAGCCTCCAGTGACAGGCACATCCAGATGTAGTTCAGGGTCTGAGCCTGGACCCACACTATTTGGAACCCCCAAACTGACTTATGGTTTGCTGACTGGATGATGGTTTCTCAATGCCATAGACCAGTTGTGATGGAAGACCATCTCTGATGAAGGACCAGATTCCTCCCCCCCCCCCCCGTCTGTCATGGACCAATACTTTTGTAGAACACAGAAAATACAGATTAGTAGAAACAAATTGGACTAGAAAACCCAGTCACACAAAAATATAAGCCCCCAAGTTGTATTAGAGTCAGCAAACTTGACAATTATTCTGGCAAACTGCCCAACTAGCTTCTAAATGCAGTCTTGATTTCTCTAGCTATGGGGGTGCAGACAGACAAGAAGCAGTTCATGGCTGGACCACAGTGTGAGTAGCCCTGGAGTCACGCAGAACCTTGCACACACGGGGTAGTGGTGTGTAAAATATTGGCTTTCATTAGTTCTCAGGGCAGGTGCATGGGACCCAGAGCAACCAGAGTCCCCCAGGGCAGGTTTTCTTTGAGCCATTTGATGGTTATAGTTGTACGTCCTGAAAGGGTTAGGAAGTGGTTCTTACACTTTAGTGAGCATAACAGTTGGGGTGAGGAGGAAGGTTGCTAAAAATGCATATTTCTGAACCACAGCTCCAGTATCTGCAGAGTGAGGGCCAGGAGTCTGCATTTTCATCAATACCCTGGTGACGCCATAGTTGCCTCTGATGCATGTGTTCCGAGGACCTCATGTTGACAAGTACTCATGCAGACATAGTGGAGGTGGCCCAGTTGTGGGAGATTCTCTATCAGTATATGCTTACTTCTCTCTATAAGCTAAGTTTAAGGTGAGATCTTGAACTTGAGAAGCAAGGATGCTTCTATTAGGGTTCTTTGCTTCAGCAAGTGACCCTGTTCAATTTCAACCAAGAAATAACCTATTAAAGGACTTGGGGAGTTCACAGATTCTTTAGGAGGCCAACAGAATCAGGCCCAGCCTGTTGAGATTCGATCGTCAGAATAGTTCCTGAGAAGACATTATTAGTGCCCCTGGAAACAGTGGCACTGCTGACGCCACAGAAGCTGGGCACCGTGGCTGCTGGGTGTTCACTATAGATCTCACTTCTGTGACGCCCTTGGCAGAGCGGGTTCTTTACAGGTCCTGGCTCCTGAGTCAAAGTCTTGCTGGGGAGTGTTTGAAGGCTGCTTCATAGCTGCAAGGGAAGCTGGGAAAACGGATGCCTGGCATGTTCAGCTTCTGTCTTGGGAGTGATGTAAGACTCATGTGGTTGGGAGTGTCCTGAGCTGGGTGAGCCAGAAGGATATCAGGTGTTTCTACAGACGCTCATAGTCCTGTCCCCCATGGGAGACTTTCACAGCTGTCTCCTTATTTTCCTAAGCATCACAGAAGGCCCACAGAACACATGTCGAAGATGGCAGCAAGCTTACTTTCAAGCATGGAGGACAGCAACAGCCCTTCTGTTGAGGTCCGTCCTCTGCATTTGAGTGGGGCTGTCCTCCTTTGTAACCCCAGCAGCTCAACCTGATGGGTTGGAGAATCTCTTAGGAGACTCATCAAGCACCATCAGCTCTCAGCAGCCTTGTGGAATGTTCTCAGAAGAAAATGAGGGGAGAAGGTAGTGCCAATGGTCGCTTGCTTGCCAGGACTCGGGCTTGGGGCTGAGCACAGTACACACATTAGCTCCGTGAATTCCCCCCAGGAACTCTGGGAAGTGGTTTCTATTTTTCCCCACTTTATTTTATTTTTAATTTATTTATTCTAATCACTATTTCCCCCTATTTACAGATGAGAAAATGGAGCCTCTTGAGTAATTTCCCTGAAATCACAGAGTTTTGGAGCTGCTGGATGCTTAAACCAGGTCTCGTGACATCTTTATGAGAAAACAAAACTAAACTAAACGGAACTAAACAACAATGAAGCTTTCATGTTTTAGGAATCCCAGGTAAGGAAGGGACTTGGGGTAGGACTTTGGGCATAACCCAGGCCCCCATTTTGATTTAAATTGATAAGAAGATATATAGTTGAAGGTGGAGATTCATTAAAATCTCGGGAGCTGTGGTTGTGTTGTATTTTTTTATGGGTGGTCTTTAAATGCCTTTAATTTGGAACTGATGAAACTGATGGAGAGCTCTGAGCAAAGTGAGCCCGTCCCAGTGAATGAAACTGGCTCTGATTCTAAATGAGCTCATGGCTGAAGTGGGCAGTCCGTCTGAGTGACTCCCCAGCCCCCAGGAGGATTCAGAATTCAAGACCGGCAGAAGTCTCTGCTTCTTTCTTTTGCTCTGATGATTATAGGTGAAAAGTGGAATGCACAAAAAGTTGAAAAGTAAAAAGCACCAGGAATTGGGAAAAGGCTACGAGTTAAAACCCTCGCTCTGGTTATTAGTAGCAGGGTTTCCCCCAAGCCTGTTAAACTGGTGCAGCTTCATTTCCCTTCATCGGTGTAGTCACCTGTCGGGGTTGCGAGGGGCCGCCAGGTGGTCAGCTCCGCATGGGTAGGACACACAGTACGGTTTCAATACATGTCTATTGAATGAATGACTCTAGCGAGAGAAGGGCTGTTGCAGTGGGTCTGCATACACTGAAATGCGGACAGGCGCTAGCAGCCTTGCACTGTTGTGATAGGGGAGCATCTCAAACTTGATTGCACTCAGAAATAACCTGGGACCTGGTGACAATGTAGATTCTGAATCAAAAGGTCAGGGCAGTGGGTCCAAGATTCTGAGGTTCTAACAAGCTCCCAAGTGATGCGAATGCCACTGGTTATGGACCACTCTGTGTAGTGAGGGTGTAAGTAAGTGACCAGCAAATGTACCAGTCATGCCAGGTGAGAGTGGGGGTGGGGGGAGGGGTCACCGAGGCAGTGATCTGCCAACAGGAGACGGGCTCTGTGCTCCAGCGCATCTTGTGTCCAGAAATGCCCCCAGCCCGACGCCACGCCTGTGAGGGAGCACGAGGCTCGCCCTCTTTCTCCTCAGGCAGCAGCTCGTGCGGCCTGGCCCTGGTGTCTCATGTTTGCCATATTTGGTGAAATTGATGGCTCTGGCTGCCTGTCACTCTGAGTCACCAGTGTGCAGCGCTGGCATTAATAACCACTAATACTTGTTAGACATGGTGTGTTGAGCACTGGGCACAAGCTGGACACGTGATAGGCACTCCAAAAGAGATAGCTGATGATGATGGTGGTGGTGGTGATGGTGATGGTGATGGTGGTGGTGGTGGTGGTGGTTTTATGAAATCCTTTTGCATCTCTTTTAGTTCTCTTGGCAACTCGATGATGTATTAATTGTTCAGGCTCTGGATTGTCTGTAAATCCTGGACATCGCAGGCTCATTCCCATCTCTACACCTTTGCTTGGAGCAGTGGTTTCCTCCTGGGGGCAATTTCTACCCCCAGGGACAAAAATATCTGGAGACATTTTTGGTTGTCATGATGTTAGGGGGAGGGGCGCCACTGGCACCTAGTGGGTAGAGACCACAGATGATGCTAAACGCCCTGCAATGTACAGGACGTACAGGACAGGCCCCCAGGCCCCCCGCGCCCCCCCACACACACACAAATAGTTACAGGGCCCAAAATGCCGTTGTCATCTCAGCTGAGGCTGAAAAACCCTGGCTCAGATGGCTTCTCCCCTGGAGGCTGCTTTCCCCGGTTTTACCTGTGAATCCCCCCACAGGTCTCTAACTTGACTTTGGCATGGAAGAACCTCATTAGGTTATTTCCCTAACTTTTAAGGCCTATCACCTCTTAATGCTAAGGGTTTAAACCCAGGCCAGCCAGAGCTTCCCTGACATTCTCATGCCCTAGTCCTCTGCCTTTTACAGTAAGGATGGGGGTGCAGGGGTTGTTTTCCCCATTCAAGATGTGTAGGGAAGAAGGAAGAAAAGGTTCCTGGGTGTGTGTGTGCGCGTGTCGTCTGTTTCAGAACTGGACTCTGTGGTCCCTGTTCACCTTGCTCTGCCCGAGGTCGGTAGTCTGCCTGGATTGAGGAGGCACAATGCTTAGCCCGGCCTTGGCTGCAATGCCCAGGCTCATTTTTTGTTTTGTTTGTTTTTTTCTTTCAAACACAGAAGAAGAAGAAGGAGAAATAGAAGGAGAAGAAGAAAAAAAAAAAAAGCATGTTAGGCAACTAGCTTGGCAGAATAATGCCTTTTCCTCTCCAAAAACCGGGGAAGGCTGATGAGGTGTGGCCTCCCTGGAGTAATTTAATTTGGAATGTCTCTGGACAGCACGTGGGTCTCTGCAACACCTCCCCCAAGCCAGGAGCAGCCCCAAACCCTCCAGCAGCATATCCAGTGAGATCTGCTCTCTCAACGCGACACACAGGAATCCAACGTGGGGATCCTTTGGGATCCCGGGAGGTGGCCCTGCCGGTGCCAGCAAGCCAGGGAAAACCTGTTGAACAACACGCGGAAATGTGGCTGGGGAGTGGGAGGGCGGGTGGCAGGCGTGTGGCACGTTGCCTCCTGGAAACGCTTGCTATGCTGCACGCTTGTGGGGGGGATGTTTATCAGAGAGGGACCGACAGCAGACGGGCCTGCCTGCAACGGGATGACCCAGGATCTGGCCTGAGAGAAAGAAGGATGCGCTTTAGCCACCTCCGCCAACACATCTTATGGATCGGCTGTGCTCCCACCTCCCTGGAGTCGGGGGAAGAAGAGTAAAACAGTCAGGCCCCAGCAGGGTGGTACTGGGGCTGAGGCCGCCTCCTGGGGTGACCGTGTACACGGTAGTTGTCACTGCTGCTCCCCTCCAAGTCACCATTCTGTGCCCCCAGGCAACCCAGGCCTGCTTGCACAGTGACTTTCAGAAAGAAGCATGCCTCTTCTGATGTTTTTTTCCTCATGGAAAATTCATTTTTCTCCCATTGACACACTGGACCTCCCTTAAATAGGACTGAAAGCAATTAATATGGAGTGTGAGGGGAGAGATTTCCAAGCCCAAAGCCTGCAGGCCGAGCTTGCAGAAAAGAGTGTGTGCCCAGCCCTCTGATTTTGCGTGTGAGGTTAAATGGCCATGATCAATATATTGCCATAAGCACCGAGAGGACATTTTCATGGCCTGTACATAAGCGTCTATAATGTAGAAGAGACGGGGTCTGCCACCAGCCCCAACCAGGGTGTAAAAACCATCTTCCAAATAAAAACACAAAGTCACTTTAGCAAAAGTTCTGTTCTGTGGCTGCAGAGCAAGGTTGGCTGAGAATCAGGCAGGCTGAAACTGGAGTCGGGAGGTGTGGGTGTGCGCGTGGGGAGAGGGCTTTCCTGGGACGGTGGGCTGAGGTACCCGTATATAGCTGCGTGGTTCAGCGCCTGGCCAAACCTGGCAGTGAGCTGTGGCTCCGTCATTGTTAGCTTCATGACCTTGGGTAGGTCACTCAAGTTCTCTGAGTGTCAGTTTATTAATGGCAGCAATGGTATTAATACCTGGCCTCATAAGGTTGTAAGGATGAAGTGGACCAATGTGTGTACAATGTGTAGCCCGTCTCTGGGGTTTGATAACAGCTCACTAAATGGTAAGAAGGAGGAAACATGCTGTTGGTGGCATGGATCGCTTGTGTCTGGAATGTCCCAAATTACAAAGTATAACCACACACCCTCCTATCCGACTCGGAGCCTTCACATAGGAAGCAGTATCAAGCACTTGAAAGCGAGCTCGGTGGCCGAGTCCAGGCAGAGCGGTTGTGGAACATGTCCCTGTGATGACTGCTTGAACTCCCGAGCTGGGCTTGGACCCCTGCCCTGAGCCTTTGTCCCTTCACCACTCTGTCTTCCTGGTGCTGCCCATTGGCTGTGTGTCCCCAAGACCAAGTAACTTTCACATTAGGGCTACCAAACCATAGTTAAGAAGGAGAATTTGTGGCTGAAATTGTCCCTCCATGTTCTTGTTTGTTTGGTGTGACTTTTGGATGGTCTGTGCCTTACATTCTGTTGTGTTCATCCAGGGAGGCCAATTCATGGTGACGATGGCAGGCGGGGGACCCCGAGCAGCCAGCGTCTGAGTGCGGAGGGGAAAGTTGCCAATTCAGCAACTAGGATTCTGTGTACCCTTTCTGGTCAATTCAAACCTTGTGTTTAACTCAGATCATCCCTTATTGGGGGCCATCTGAGTCCGTCATCATCTCAAGAGCTGACATGTACTGAGCCAGGCATTCAGGGCAATGCTTTACAAGCATCATTTCAGTTGAGCTTCACAGCAGCCTCACAAAGGAGGCCCTTTATCAGGCAGCCTTCTTGGCTGCAAGCAACCAAACCATCTTGCTGTTCAAGAAGGAGGGGGGTTATTGGAAGGACGCTGGGGGCTTCTGATAAAGCTGATAACTGTTGTGATTCAGTAAGATGGGTGGCTGCATGGTGATTGTAAGAAGGCTGGAACCCAAGGTTATGAACAGGGATAGGGACCCAATGAACCCCAGAGGGCCAGGTGGCAGGAGGGCCATTCTGTGCGCCACCTCTGATGCTCCGGTCACAAAACGTCCAGTCCTCTCCACTCCCTAGAGTCACTCAGCCTGGTTTTGCTGAGCTCACACCAAGACCTGCCATGTGGCAGGAACAAAAGATCTTGTCCATCAGGCATCGGTCATGCCCTGCAGGCTCTATCTTCCATCAAGCATACACGCCTTTGGGAGTTCTGAATGGGGCAAAGCTGGCTTGTAGATACTCAGATTGGCACATAACCCCCACAGTGACATTCCTGTCCCTGCTGTCCAGATGAGCTGACGCTCGGCAGGGTTGGGCGGACTTTCCAGTTTCTCACAGGCATCAAGTCGCAAAGCCGGATTTGCTCTCAGAATTCTCGTACTCTCAACCCGGAACTCCTATCCACTAAGTGTCTCTCCCTTTCATTGCAGACAGCATCGGTTAGGAACTATTGCATAATATATACTGTGCTATTCTAATCTATTTAATGAAGACAAAAATTTTCTTTTTAAGCCAAAAATTTGGGCGTAGCTTGAAGGCTACTTTAAATAAATAAATAAATAAATAAATAACCTCTGAGGCCCCTCCCTGCCTGGGGTCCCTTCCTACTTTCCTCTCCATACTCATCTTGTCCTCTCTGCCCTTGGCAGCCGGCGCCAGCCAGCGCCAGCCAGCGCCAGCCAGGCCCACCTCCTGCCTGGCCCCTTTCTGCCCCTAACCCTCTACCTGCCATGCTGCACCCCGGGCAAAGGCTCTCCCCTCAGCTCTTGCAGGGCTGAGGAGTCCTGGCTCAGATGCCCTTCCCCAGAGAGGCTGCCCTGTCTAAACTGGTCTCAGCCAGTTATTTTCTGCTCAGCATGGCCTTCAGCACAACTGACACTTGTCTGCTGATTGTTAGCTGCATTGAACAATGCCTAGCATATAGAAGGTCTTCAGTAAATATTTGGGGAATGAAAGAATGAGTAACTCCCACCAAGATACACCTGGGAACATAGCGTAATCACCTGAGGAGCGCTTTCAATCTGCGAAGCCCTGTTCCTGCTCCGACTTGGCCCTTCCCAGTGAGACGCTCTGCCACTATTTTGGAAGGCGATGGTGGGGGTGGCGGGGAGATGCATAATCCGCTCTCCTGATGTTTCTTGCTTATCCAGTCCTCCACCTTTCTCTGTGTGTAATATTTTAATCAGGGAAATGTAGAGTAAATAGCACCAGATTCAAGTTAGGGCTCCTGGGTTCAAGGCTGGGTTCAGGGCAGCCTGGCTGGTTGACCTTAGGCAAGCTCTTCACTGCCTTGAGGCTCAGTACAACTGGGGTCATAAAACTTGGTCAAGCTCCCTTATAGAGTTGTCAAGTGTCAAATAGGAGAGAGATTATGAACATGCCATGTACCGCAAAGGAGTCACATACTTAACACCTAAGGTATTGACCCACAAGCCACACTGGCAACGCAGCGCCACAACCCTCCCAAGGAAGTGGCAAGAACTTGGGCATGAAGTCCCTGGTGGGATCAAGCAAACAGGAAAACACCTTCCTGTCTTCTAAGAGGGAGTCCCTGAGCCTCAGAGTCTAGAAGAGGGCTTCGGTGCTTTGCATAATGATTTGCATATCCTTTGCAAGTCACCTGAGGCAGGTGGGACTGTATCGTGGTCCATAACACTCCCTCCAACCATCCTTCACATCGGCCCTGCTGGAAAAATGGTGGGTTGAGCTCCCCCTGGGGGCTCCCAGTGCTGTCCCCTCCTTCTAGAAGCAGGTATGGGGGTGAATCCAGGCCTGAGAGCTCCCATGCCACACGCTCTGATGGATGGCAGGCCTTCAGCGTGACTGAGCTTTCACAGCTGAAACCATTAAAGGTTATTCTCCTTTTAATTCTTTGTGGTGGTTCTCACTCCTTGCTTAGAGAAACCTCTGATTTTCACTTGCGAGATGCACGGTTGCTCTTGTCATAGCCTACAAGGCGATTTCAGTTCTCTGATGCCAAGGAACCTTTCTGCTAATCAAAACACAGCTGCAGAGGCCCGCCTGATCTGCCAGTGGGCACCCCAACTTGGGGCTATGCCTGACTGTACCTGGGAAAATAGATATAATTAAGATAACAGATATCATATGTATATGCAAATGCAGCAGGTAAAAATGACTAGCAATGAGACAGCACTCGACTCTGCCAAATCCTATCAGACCAGTTGTGTGGTTTAACCAGAGGCTCACGCTGTCACCGCCACGCCCGCCCCACAGCCAGCTCTGGTGCTCTCTCCCCGCTATGCTGGACCCTTCCGGCAAATGATTTTTCCTTTTCATATAAAAATAGATCCCCATAATTTTCTGAAGAGGCTCATCCAATAGCCCCAAGTCTTATGAGCCTACAGGGGTCCCAGAACCTGAGAGATAAGTGAGGGAAAGAGGGACAAAGAGGGAAAGAACACTATCAAGGTTTGACCTTTAGTGAGGGGCGTGTCCCCAAAGTGATAGCACCATGACCACAGAAGACCTGACAAATCATTATGAAGACCAAGTTTCTTTTTTCCAACCATCCTACATGGAGGGCCTGGAAGTTTGATGCCAGGCGTCAGCAGGCTTAGGTTTAAGTTTTGTGCCTGCCTCTTCCCAGTGTCGTGAGCTTGGGCAAGTGACTTATCTCTCTGTGCCTGAGGTTCCTCACCCTAAAATGGGCATCACAACAGCACCTGCCTCAAAGGGCCTGGCAAGCCCTGAGCTCTTAGATTATGTTGTCTCTTGCAATGGGTTTGTAGGAGGGGAAGAGCCCAGGATCAGGTCTAGTGTCCCCACTCCACTCTCTCATTCCATCTGTGCGCCCTTGGCTAAATCGCCTCATCTCTCTGAGCCTCAGTTTCCTCATCTGTAAAAAGGGCTAACAATGCCTACTTTCCTGTGCTGTTAGGAGGATCAAACAGACAGTAGATGGGTGTCACCATGTTGTGTAACAGTAAACAACAGAGGCAGGTTTTGTTGTTGTTTTTGTTTGTTTGTTTTTTAGATTTTTTTTTATTGGGGAATCGGGGAAGGGGAACAGACAAGTTGCTGTCCTTTTGTTCTTCAGTCTAGTTGTGGAGGACGTCGCTTCACTGGCCCAAGTTGGCACCATCATTGCGCTCTTCCTGGGCGAGGCAGATCAGTCGCCGGCTTCTGGACGGCCGCTCACAGCGGCTGTCTACCGCTCACGCTGGCTGCTGGCTACACACGGTAGCCCATGGCAACCCACTGCCACAGGGGCTGCAGTCCACACCGTTGCTGGCGACTCATGGCAGCTCAGCTCCAGGTCGAGCTGTTGTTCAGCATCTTAGCTGTGGAGGGCAGTGTCACTGGCCCTCATATGTGGGATCCGAACTGGGGCCCTCTGGCGTCCCAAGCCAGTTCTTAACCATCACGCCACTCGGCCGGCCCAGAGGCAGGTTTTGTATTTGGAGTAATGGCGGCTGCACCTTTCAGGAGCCCGAAGCCTGATGTGATGGCGAGAATCTCATTTGTGAGACTCTGGGTCTGAGAGGGGCTGAAGAGGTCCTTGCTCCCATGCAGTCTGTCAGAAGGGTTACGAATCTCTGCAGATACACAACCCACACACTTTTACCCAGCTGTGCACGCTTCAGTGTGGGCGTCCACCCTTACGAACCCATGAGGGTCTGCATGAGGATCCGTTCTCATTTCCATGCACTCTGTGCCTACTACACTGCCTCATCCACCGTAGATGCTCAAGAAATATGTATCTAAGGGCCAGCCGAGTGGCTCAGTTGGTTAAGAGCTCGCTCAAGAGTTTGAGCTCTGAGCAACAGCGGTTTGATTCCCGGCCCGAGCTGAGTAGCCGCTGAGCTGCCAACAGGTGGCAGGATGGCTCAGCTAAAAAAAAAAAAAAAAAGAAATATGTATTTATTGGTTGCCTGAATCACTGGATGAATAGATGGCTGAATTACACCATAAACTTGTTTGTCTGCCCTATAGGTGGAGTAGAGACAGCTGTTAGCATCCTGACCCCTCTACAAATGGTGAGGACGATACTTGTATAGGGTCAGGCGGGCTTCCGAATCAAACCCACATTGAAATCTCAGTTCTGCCATATCCTAGCAGTGACCTCGTTTGAACTTCAGTTTAAGAAAACGTGCTGAACTTCAGTTTGCCTCGTCTGTGAAATGGGCATAAAAATAAGCCCTCCTCGATAAGGTTATTGTGCAGATTGCTTGAACTTGGACAGGCCAGTGTCTGGCGTGTTCGTCAAAGGAAGGCAGTGGAATTGAAATGCATCTCCTTGTCCCTCCTCCTCTGCCCACCTTCCCGTATGCACTACATGGATTCCAGGCCTTTTCCATACCCAGGACGGCCCCAAGCCCTAGCAGTGAATCTGATCCTTCATCTAATCATGGCATTGATGTTTTTTATTCCATTGAAGGCATCAATATTTGTTCAATAGCATAAGTCTTAAATAAGCATCTAAACGACATGTTACAGATGATGAAAGTCATTTCCGCGCAGAAGATTATCTCACACAATCATGCTCCCATCGTTATCTGGGGCCTCTACAGTTGGCAAACCTCCACGGCTACTTAAATGATAACATTAGTCCTAATACCGTGCAAAATGACTGGTTCCTCGGGGTAGGTTTAGTTTTAATAGTGTATGTCAGCAGCAAATAGCTCGGAAGACCCCAGAGGAAAAAGCACAGCTCATGCTCTCACTGAAGCGATGATATGGATATATTTAATATCTGTATTAAAACCCTTTTAGGCGCCATGGTGATATTGAACTGGATAGTTAGACATGTGCAGGCAAAGCCCTTGGCTGTTTATAGGGCACGACGCAGTGTGCATTACAGAAACCTTTTGAGGTTGTTCAAAGTCGAATTTGGGCTTCAAAAATCTTTGACAGACATTTGACCCCAGTTGTAAAATGCTCTGAAACAATCTGGGAGAATGAAATCGCCTCCTTTTTATTTCTTTGGTTTCTTGGTACTGATAAGTTTGCTGCACTGTTAAAATGTCTAATCACTTGCCTCCAGCAGCAGCAAGCTTCCATCAGAAGTTGCAATTTATTAGGGCACCCAGCACATACTTGCTGTTTATGCAGAAGATGGCCAGGGATCCTCAGAGGGAAAGCAAACCACAATTTGGAATCCAGCATAGAGTCATGGATGAAGGGATGGAAAACGAAAGTTACTTGGGAGTCGATGTCAGGGGAGATCATGGAAAAGCTACACCGATTTTCTACTCCAAATGCTCAGGGTGAAATCATAGAGTCCAGCCTGGACCGAGAGGGGTGTCTGACCTGCACCAGGGAGGGGAGAAGGGGCTGCGGGGGACAAAGACGCTTGCTAGGGATATACACCTTCCAAGAAAGGGCAGTCCTCTCTGCTTCAGGGTGTGGTCAGAGAAGACCATAGGAAGAGCAATGAACAGATGCAAATTTTAGCAGATGGCTACTCTCAATGTCCATGCCCATTGGCCCTCGTAGGTGTGGACCTCACTTCAGCCTTTGTACCTTAACCAAGGGCAAACTGAGTTCTGTAGCAGGGGACCGTCTCTGAGACAGCGAGGCCATTGGACTATGGCAACTGCAGGCATCTTGGGATGGCCTCATTGGCACAATACCACAGACCTCGCCCTTGGAGAAAGGGTCGTGGAGGCCCCTTGGATGACCACAAAGAGTTACCTCCTTCTGGTAACCAGTCACCCAGGATGGTGCCTGGGAGGGCACCTGGAGATACTGAGCCAAATTGGGACTGTCAGGTCACTATTCTCTAAGAATGGACGTATAAAGATATAGGGGATTCCCTACATATCATCCTGGGTCCTTGGCTGGACAAATAGCTCAAGTTCCTTTAACATTTTTGATAACTGTATTTCAAACCGGGTTATAAGGAATAACAGGTCTTCCGGCAGAAAAGGGTGCTATAGCTGTCAATTTGGGAAATGTACACCTTGAAGAGTCACAGTGACATATTAATGGCTCTGATATGTGCTGAAAGGAGAAACTAGCCAACAAAAGTGGTTTCACTCTGTTTACCCTGGCGTTTCCACCAGTGGTTTGGCTATGAATTCCTTTCTTCACAGGAAGTCTACCATCATTGAACCCCTGTGATACTCAATTTAAGAATCACTGTGTGGTAGCAGAATTCTAAAAATGCTCCCCCCTTTCCAAGACCCTCTCCTGATCATTCAGTTCAACCCAAGTATGGCTACTGCAGTAAAGAGATTTTGCAGACGTAATTAAAGTTAAGCAAACTGACCCTACGATACAGATTATCCAGGTGGGCCTGACCCAATCAGTTGAGCCCTTGATTGAAAGGATGAGAAGGAGGGGAAGTGCCCTCACCGCATTTGGAGGTGGAAGGGGCCCCCTGAGAAGGAACGTGAGCAGCCTGGAGAAGCAGAGAGCAACCCCGGCTGACAGCCAGCAAAGAAATGGGGGTGCCATATCTGCAGACACAAGGGATGGGATCGTGCCAACAAACAACCTGAAGGAACCTGACAGCACATTCTGCCCAGAGCCCCCAGATGAGGAGAACGCGGTGGCCAGTACCTTGATTTTGGCCTTGGCAGATTCTGTGAGAGGACCAGGTGAGCCCGCCCACGTCTGACTCACAGACCGGTGAGATAATAAATGGGCGTTGTTTTAAACCACTAAATTTGTGATAATCCGTTATGCAGCCATAAAACACGAATACGTGCTCATTCAGAGAAATGAAAGCAGGGTTAATTGTGGTACACTCTTCCCGCCTCCGTTACATTTATAAGGTGTTTTACAGGTAACAAAACACTTCCATCTATCGATGCATACCAGCAATGCTCAGATGCGGCCGGACAGGTGTTTCCATTTCTACAGGTGAGGAATAGACTCGGGAAGGTGGAAGGACTTGCCCAAGACACAAGGCTGCTCAGATGGGGCTCTTTTTGTGACGTGTGTGTGTGTATGTGTGTGTGTGTGTGTGTGTGTGTGTGTGTGTGTGTGTGTTCCTTTCCTCTTTCTTGCTTTCAAATAGGAAAGAATGTGACCATTTGGAGACATTGCAATTGGAAGCTTGCAAAGGAGGATGACAAAAAAAATTCAGAGAAGGACACATCAGGCAAAGGGTCCGGCTGCTTCATCAGAGAGGTCCTTTCTTTCATCTCTTGTCTCCGACCAGAAAAGCTTGTTAAAAAAAGGGCCCGCAGCTATGAGCCAGGGACAATGTGTGAGGCAGGGTGCTGGCAGCCGCCGGAAGTGGACTGCTAGGAAGCTTTATTTGGAAGACGAAGGGCAAAGACACAGAGGACTGTCATATCAAGAGAAACAGTATCTGCAGGCTGACCTCTCGGATGGGTGGTTTGCAGAGGTGGGACTGCCTGCGTGGCTGATCCGTTTTCTTTGCCACAGCCAGCATTTCTACTTGTGCTGTTGGCACTTTTTAAAGGAGCCCCTAACTTAGCATCATGGAGCAGACACGTCATCGAGGACCTCCCCGCTCCGCTGCCCCTGCCACGCACACAAATGGAGACTGAGGTCCAGAAAAGGGATGGGACTTGTTCAAGATCACAGGTGCCCTGACTTTCCATTCAAAGATTCTCCAAAACAGCACACACACACACACACACACACACACACACACACACACACACACACACACAACTACTTAGCTGTGTTATCGTGGCAAGTCTCCATGCTGGTTAATGACCACTTCCTGACGAAGCTGAGTTCCTTAGAAGCAGATTTATTGTGCGTGTGTGTATGTTTGTTTTGTGTCCAGTGTGAGTCAGAACTGTGTGTTTACTATCATCCTAATAATAATACAGTCTAACCCTGATAGAGTGCAGACCCATTGCTGGACACTGTCTTAAAAATGCCAGGAGTCAGGTCGCTTCACCCTAAGAGCAGGCCCATGAGTTCGTGGGGAAGTCATCGGGTTCTTACCCAACGTTTCTGGCCAGAGACGGATCCTGGTTTTGTAGGGCCTGAAGCTTCTATGATTTGGGAGCCTTCTTAAAGGAAAAAAGTACGAAGTTACAAATATGAAATTAGGCGCAGAGCCCTGGAAGGTGCCCTTGGTGGAGAAGGGCTCTGAAGCCTTACAGCACACCTGCCTCAGTTTCCCCCTTCTCCCTGGCACAGGTTAGGGCTGCATGTTCCTGCCCCCTTGTGAAGTTAGGCAAGACCATGTGACTTGTATTGGTCAATGGGACATGAATAAACTTCCCATGTGTCAACTCTGAGCGCAAGTTTTAAGAGTTAGTGGGTGTCCCTCATTCTCCGCCCGCACCCTGGCGCTCACAGTCCCCAGACTGACGATGGACGCGTGTGCTACGTGGAGCCTCCTTTCCCTTGAGACTCTGAGTCATGACAGTGAGTACAGCTCCCTCTCCCCTCACCCTGCCCTGTGTCCACCCACAGGAACAACAGCATGAGTGAGAAATAAGCTTTTGTTCTATAAATTTCCTAAAACCTTGCAGATTATTATTATTTTTTTTTAACCATAGCAAACCTAGCTTAACCTAACTGATATATGTAGGACGTTATTATTGTCCCCGTTTTCCAGATGAAAAATCGAGGCACAGAGAGGTCTAGAAACTTGCTCAAGATCATACAGCTGCTTAGTGGCAGACCTGGATCAATGGTCTGTTTCCTAGTTTCCCCGTGTCCTTACGGAATGGCGGGGGCTCTAGAAAACTGAAGATACTTGTCCCACCTCCAGGCAGCTACTCAGCTCCAGCTGATGGTTGTCAAAAAGGAATGTGGGTCAATGGTTGCCAGGTCTTCTGATTTTTTTAAATGGAGGCCATAAACCCAGAGTTTTCATGTAAAATCCCAATTATTAGACATAGGCAACTGAGTGAAGTCTTTTCCCCGTTTTGAACACTTCAGGCCCAAGATATCAGTGAGGTAGATTTGGTTCACCAGCTTTGAGACCTGACAATATCCAACTTTTCATTAAACAAATAACAAACCCTGAAAAT